CACACGGCTTGCAAGCTCTCTAACTAAGCAGATTCTCGTCAATCGAAACAAATTTTCTGCGAGTGGCTCGCTCATTACCTGAAATGCTTGCAGCTAGAACTGCTCGTCACCCGAAGTTCTACTGTACAGAGATAAAACTAACGGCTGCTGCGCTTGAATGAAGCAGGAGCTTACGGTTTCCAAAATAGGGTGCCATTTGTGCATACCAAGGTCGTAGATTAGTAATGCAGCATACGAGAGTTTGTTCTAGAATGCGACATTAGTGGAGAATAAAACCTAACGTCTTAAAAAGTCAGTCATAGGGACTTCAGAAATAACTAATTTGCTAAGGAGACAGGAACTCTGCTACAACAAGAGGATGGACAGTACTCACCTTTTGTTCCCTAGTTGGCACCGGTGACCGCAACCAGCTCTGTACTGTAGGAAACTGCATTTCTCCATAGCTGTCCACGTCGCTCAAAGAAGTAGGTGTAAAGTCGGCAGTGGCGGTTCGGCGTCCCTCGGATGCAGTCCGCGGAAAGCGACTGCGACCTCCACCGTTGACAGCCATAGTGCGGCTACCAATCTCAGAGGGCAGTAGGTAGCCGGGCGAACGACTAACCGGCCGAAGGCCAGAGATGGACGGTGGCGGTAAGCCGCCACTGAGTGTGGTCGAACGGGCTCTGTGCTGCGTCACATTGGAGTGATTTCGGTAGCCGTCCGTTAAGGCACCCGACGTACCTCCTATTTACCCACAGAAAAATAGAGGTTTATCATTTCCTGATTTCTAAATGACAGGTACCATCACCTTAAAGGAAGATTCGGTAGAGGAAGGGAGCGTAATCTCAGTTACGGGTGACAGGACATAGGTAAACGGTTCAGTTTCGGACTACTGGACTACTGCTAATCCTGGCTGAAGTTTCAGGTCACCCTGTATAAAAAAACAGCTAACAGTTTGCGCCTAAAGCAGCAGGTATAAACATATGGTAAACTGGGGCTCAGTAGTTACGTACTTACATTTCTTAAAGTGAGTTCAAACCACAGATCAATGATACTGTTAACAGTATCATCCTATAGATAGGCATTAGTTTGTTCACATTTTTGGATTCGTAACTCGAAAAACCAAATTATTAGTCTTTGAGCAGCTCAGGAGTAGAACATTCGCTCGCTGGAACAACAATTTTATTCTCCTGACATTTCGAATTCTGTTAAGAAGCCCCAATCAGAGCTAAGCGTAGGAGACATGCACAGATTGCGCGGTATTTACAGTTCGTAGCGGCCACCCGTAAGCGTACAAGAGCTGATAATTATAGTACGCAGGCGGGTGGCCACAACGAACTGTAAATATCACGCAATCTGTGCATGTCTCATGCTATCCTACGGTTGACTATGATTAGGGATTTCCGAGAGAATCCGAAATGGCAGGAAAATAAAATTATTTTTCCAGCGATCGGATCCTATTGCTTTTGAACTGCTTCCTTGAACTCACATAGTCGCTTCTATCTCTGAACAGCATTATTTATTTATCTCAACACAGCTCAATTTATTAGTTCAACGGCTATCGCTAGTGAAGAAGATTAACGAATAAAAGTCAGCGGTAAAAATTCCAGTTGAAGAAAGAAATGTCCTCTAGAAACGGCCATTAACTGTTCTGAAGCCTTTTCCCGGCATAAATTTAAAGCTACAAGAGTAACGCAGCATTAATTAGATCCAACAAATTGCACGACTGCATCAACAAGGCAAACAAGAGGAACAGTCAACTAATTCTCCCACACTTCGGGGATGATCCTAGTGACCTCCGCGATCCTTTTTTCTTTTTTCTCCTAAACCCCACACCTTCCTTTCCCCCACAAGAGTGACAGCTTTTCTCCTAAAAAGGCCTTAGAAGTTTTTTCAATGTCTGCTCCATTTTTTTTCACCTCATGACTCAGGAAAATTGGCCTCGCCAACAATCTGAGATACCATTGTTCTGCTACCACGGCACACATGTACAAATAGGGAACTCAAAGGTAATGTACCTACATATCCCTCAATAAACTGATGCTGATACTTTCTCGTTTCAACCTAGCGTACTACCCCCACATGAGCGACAGTTTGTTTCTCCTGAAAAATCCCAAGGAGTTTTTTTTCGCTGTCTGCTCTTTTTTCCTTTACTCCACCTCATTGGGCCGTGCCATTTGGCATCGCCAATGAGCAGAGTCACCACTTTTTGATATCACAACACGCATGTACACATATAAAGGAGTTACGCAACTACATTTCTGAAGAGTAGTTGGAGAGCATACGTAGGCTTTTGATAAATCCTTGTCGGGCCATTACAGTCATATGGGAAGGCGGTAAAAAGTAAAAAAGCGAGCAATTACTTTCAAAATTAGTTATGGGAATAGGGGGGGGGTTGGTGATTAATAATATGCGGCTGTTTACACGGCACTGAGGGCTTGATAAAGCTTCCCCGCATGGCTGAGAAAAGGAGAAGTCAAGAGCATCATCAACGCCATTCTTGTCCACATGGTTGACTTCAGGCATCGTGTGGACCCCAACGAAGCCTTCACTGTGATTTATAAGGTCCCATCAAACTACCCAAAGTTCCTGCGTCAGCGAATGCTAGCAACAGCACAAGCAACCACACAAGGAGACCAGTTTTGTGTGCGCAAAAGAACCTGCTAGCTCCGAGGACATATCATGCTTAGGTATGTTTACAGTACGACCTAAACCTACAAAGCCTATTTTTCGAACTATAAGCCGTGGTTAAAGGCCTTTAATTTGCTGAAAAAACGACAAGACACCTTATAACCTGGAGCGCCTTTATACATCGATTTATTTTGCTCACTGGTTTCGAAGCGATTTTGTGTGACACTCAGCACTGCGTTAATCCGTTGAGTTGGATGAAAACTACCTGCCAATGGATTGTGGATGCCTGGGTTAAGGTTTCAACTGAAGTAGGGGCTATCACGAAGGCCGGAATCATTAGTGAACTGCTATATAACAGGAACGACGCTGAATTGGATGATGGCGGGAGCGTTCCGGGCAAGATGGATAGCGTAATGGCCCAAATGTTCAATTCGGACACCAAAGATAAAGAATTTGAGGGATTTGTGGACGGTAAATTAACTGAAACAGGGTGAGTGTATTGGCTTTTAATTTTGTCTGTCATAACTAAACAGTTTTAAGGGTTGTTGTGAATACGCTACTGTTTGATTTAGCGATATCCGACCGTATTTTTACGTGCTAAAACGGAACGAGGTTGGGAGTTTTTATGAATACGCTCATAAACGTTTGAAGAATGTTCAGAATTATTGTGAATGCGTTCACTAAAGTTTGACTGACTGACGTATATGACTGTTTTGTTTCCCTTCATGCGCGTTATAGTACAGGATGCTTTATGTAAGAAAAATGTTCGAAAATAAACCATCCATTGGCAGTGCGCCCTATAGTGCGGAAAATAAGGCTTACTTAAAAAGAAAGCTCAACAACTCAAGATGTGGGTAGACACTTTCAGGATCCGTCGTATTTTTAAAGGGTTGAAACATCTAAATAATATAAGTTCAATTTTCCTCGTGCAATCCCTTACGCATACATAGGCATATTCCGTGACAGAAGCAACCAAGTGCACTTGCAATGTAACACGTATCCTAAGAAGCCCACAGGTTGGCAGGTCAATTCGAAAAATATAGGACTTCAAGCATGCTCACTGGTAAAGACATGGCAAATGTCACGTAAGTACGTTTAAAGTGCACCCATGCCAATTCATTAAAAAAGGTGTCCTGAACGCACAAGTTTACGAAACAAGAAAAGGTCCAAGCCATCAGTCATCGGAGAGCGTCCCCATTAATTCATGAATAATTGCACGATATGCAGTCAAAGAGAATGTCAGTCGGCGGCGGCGACCCACTGATTGACCTGGCTTCCGCAAAGTACTAAGGACACATCTGACAGACCGCGTCTGTGGACCATCTGTAATGTGTCTGTGTATACAAATGTTTACGCTTCCGACGTCAGAAAGTGGTCACAAGGTACGGTTGGCTACATGAAGAAAATACACTCAATGGCCTAGCTTTTGCAATGTCGTGATCCACATATAAGTGTTTGATCTTCTGGTTTTTTTAATTTCTTGACTGGATTTGAAGCTTAGAAAGTTGTTTTTAAGTAAAGTAAAGTGCACGCCTCATCTATGCACTGGAGGTAAACAGACAGAATTCGGGCGACATCAGAGGTTGTCTGATATACAATAATGTCCTTCTGCCTACATACTAGCCGCCTTGCGGTGCAGGCGCCAGTGAGAGCTCTAATGGCAACATGGACGGACGAGTGGGTCGTCTGACAGATCGGTGTACGCGTAGCTGCTACGGTATATCCCCGATCTAATACCGGCAAGACTGCGGGCTCCTAGCTCAAAGTAGAAGTAAGTAAGGTTAGGAAGTTTGCCTCTGACCGGAAAGACGCGAGTTTGAAACTCTAGTGTGGCAGCAATTTCAGCGGCAACACTGGAGTTGGATATCACTAGCTGACGACCACTAATCAGCCAGAAATGGCCATTCTAGTGTCCCTTGTCTTTGCCGGTGATGCCCTTCTGTCAAAAATAAATTTTATATTTAAGGCCCAAGGAGCCCCTTCATTACAAACATAGTGCTGTGGTAAAAAAATACAAAGCTGGTAATCATGGCTGCGCGTAGGCGACTGTATAACAACAGGAATGAGTAGTATGTTACACATATGAAGTCAGATCCGATTTACATCGGACCATTAAAAAAATAATAGTCAACCATATTAAGTAAATATCGTGAAATAAGAAAACGGCAGTGAAAAACTCCTACAACAGAAATCAATAACACCGATTTCCAAAAATATAGGAGAAAACTGCTTAAATAGGTAGTTAGATTGATATATTGTGATATGGTACAGTGTCCTCTTATTTTTTGCCTTGTTCTATAAAAGAGGTGGAAGAAATGTACCAAAGGTTCCCATATGAAAACACAAAATCGAATCCTATATCAATGAAAATTTGGTTAAAGCAATTGAAGAGAATCGTATGGCTGAACAAGGAATGAATTCAGTTTTAAAACCGTCATTCTTTTGCTTAGTTCTTAATTTTGTTTTTATCACAAAACACACTAATAAACGTGTCTGACCGCAATTTTTTTCACCACGCTGAGATTTGTGATCATGATCAAAATACGCATATTTTAAGGTGGAGCTAGACGCTCACAACTCTGTACGTATACACTTATTAATTATGGTACGTCGTAATAATTATGTGTTTGGATTATGGAAACCCTTTTATTTTTAGGAAAACACAGTCTGCTAAATAAACTAGGATCTTGCCATTGCAGAGGATTTAACCATATGGCAGACAAGAATGCATTGAGGGGAATTAATGGTGGAAGCAGTATAACATTTTTAAACGACAGAGAAACGTATAGGCCACTCCGTGTACCATAATTGCAAGCAACCTTAAATACTTATTCCTGCCTAAAATTCATTTATAGATTCCGGCCAAGTCTTCGCAAACTTCGGTCAACACACCGTGACAGAAACCATTCGTTGGAATACTCCTGCATGTCAAACATGCCCAGTTTGATTGTGCGAACTTATGCGTTTTCACGGGCAAAGGCTCCAACGGCTGAAATTAAAGTTTTGCGTTGCTTTTTCGCTCGGTTGATTGGCTGACGACCTCCGAAATTTCCTTACAGAAACCTTTTACGGCGCTGATATTGTGGAGACAGGAGCCTGCACAAGGATGTTGACAGCGGTCTCCTGTAATGCACAGGGTGCCATTTTGAGGGATAAAACAGGGCAAAACAGCTGTGCGTCCATTGTCCATCTCTGTGTGTGCGCTTTTTGCAGGGTGGAGACAGGGGCACCGCGGTAAATGCCAGCGGAGAATGGCGGCCATGATCGTCTTCAAGACACTGCATTTACTTCGCGACCGAGAGCTGCATAAACCCCATTACCACGAACAACAACTACCCCAAGTGGCGCCACTGGACGCCATTTCTCAGGGTGGCATTCCAAAAACGTTCGATCACACATGCGCAGGTGTAGGAATCGGCAGAAATTAAACCAGCGAGCACGCGACATCAATGCGCGTGGATAAAATGAAGAATAAAATGTGCGGTGCAGGAAGCTGGTTTATAAAATCTCCATTATATTTCAATACTGCATAACCAACTAATTTGACTATTTATGGCTCAATGATAAATTACAATCAGGTGAGAGGTTGCGAAAGCAAACAAATATTTCTTCGCAGGAGGTTGCAAAGTATTTTAACCAACTACATTAAAGACATTTTAATTCGTGGCATTGGAAAACGTGTTGAACCTGCCCTACAACAAGTCACATTATGCATATTTTACAGTTACTTTATCGGCTGTAGTATTAACCTGGTCCCAAAGGTAAACAAATCTAAAATACTAAGTAAAGTGTGAGCTTTATGAATAAAATTTCGGTTTCGAAAACGACTTCCGCGGTGGTAACCCGGAGATCACAGCATCCTGAAGTGGATAATTAAAAAGAGCTAGTCGTTTTTTGATGCCCAAAATAAGCAAACCTCCAGTGAAATAAAGCATACAACAAGGCAAATAGAAAGGTAATTTTGTTCGGGCAGGAGATTTGGAGTTAATGTAACTTGCTATCAGATGAGAGTAAGAAAAACGTTTTTAAACAGCTTCTATAAAATATATTTCAAGTTATACGGGCCTTGCAAGTCTAGAAAGAATCCATAGTTATCACTTGGTGCAGATTGAAATGCTTGCAAACGGCCGGATAAAACTCAGTCAATAACTCTTATGTTAATGCGGCGTTTATACATATTACAAAGTAAAAAACACACTACAGGATTTCTGTTACTATTTTGTGGGATAGAATATTGTGATGTGGATATTGGATAAAATGTAAAATAAAGTCTTCGGGCGAAATCTTTAAAACTGTACTTTGCTGGCGGCAAGAATTCACGCACAAAAGTCATGACCTGGCACCCAGTTAAATGTAACAGAAACCAGCATCTGTCATCGTAAATTCCATATTGCCCATAGGACTTCTAGATTTAGGACAAAGGTGAGACATCATTGCTGGTTGTCCGTAAATTTGGATTAAAACTCTTAATTTTTTGACCAATTTCTAGTGAAAGGAAGACCTTGTGGACATCCAGAAACGCAAATAACATTTAAATTCAAAATTCTCAGTAAACAGCTGTAACAAAATGGAAATAAACAGCACATCGACATCAAAACTTGTCTATGAACAAACTGAGGAGGAAATGAGACTCAGAGATGTAACCGAAAGGGAATAAAATGCAGCAGCTGTGACAAGGGCTTAACTCGGATATACCGATCAGGACTGTCAAGTCAAAACTTAACTCAGCTTCATTCCCATCTTTATGTTGAGGTTGTAGTTAAATCCTAATGGATTTAAAGATTTGTTTTGCGTGATTTATTTACGTTTAGTAAGCATGAGCTTTCGAAAACAGCAGTTAAGCTCCAGAGGAAACAGTGTCTCGTTTTGTGCTAATTACTGCCTTTTTTGTTGTAAATAAGAGCTAGATAATTATCCCTATGAACGGTTGTTCTTCAAATGTCTTAATAAGTACCTATCAGAGATATTGGAAGGTACTCGTAGATCCAATTTGATTACTTATATTGGGCTAAATGGTTGTTTTTAAAACTTCCCATTGTCCACCTTCCTGTTATGATTGAATCTGTTGATGGGTCTTCATGCGAACACAAAAAGCGTGAAATTAGAGTGCACAGTGTCGTAGAACGGTACCCTTAATCCTCTCGACAATAGTTTGCCCATATGCTCTGCGGTCATTAAGCAATAGAGTTCATCTCTGTTTCAAGAAAATAAAGAGTCCGTATTAGGTTTCCCATAAGTATGAATGAATAGATGCAGTCATGAACGTGGCTCCGAGTTAGCGCAAGCAAAAGTCCAGTTTTTGCCGTACAGGAA